CCCGCTGTCAAGAACCCAAGTATGATTCGCACGATGAGTATGGGATCCATCACATGATTGCTCTGCTGCCGTATGGCATGCCGCATACGATTCGTTGACTTCGTGGTTAGATTGTTTCAGATGATTAGAATTTTCTCCTTTCCTAGCTTTACAAACATTCGCTTTATGACCTGGTGCACCGCACTTAAAACATTTAAAAATGGCTTTAGAAGCATTTTTCTCGTTTTTCTTAACGTGTCTCTTTACACAATTTACGCGATTACCAGCCGCCATTGCAATTACTGCACCTCCAGAAGTTTGCTTACGCGTCTCACTTTCCTCGATAATTTTAATCTTTAACACCTCGGCATTGGGCAATTCATCCCTAGATTCAATAGCGCACCGAAAATTCTCATAGGACGACGGAAGGCTATACAGCAGCATGATTGACAACAAATCACCATTTATTGGTACACTCATGCTTTCAAGTTTATCCACAGCATCGAAAAATGTCGCGATATGCTCTTTAACATTACCACCCTCATCAAGTTTCTGTAACATGAGCTGTTTCAGAAGTGTTGCTTTGCGCGCCGGCCCCTTTGATGCGTATATCGACTCCAATTTGAGCCATACTTCACGCGATGTGTCGCAGCCACGAATTTGCTTGAGCTCTGATGGTTGAATCGAAAGAATCAAGTCCGCCTTAGCCTTTTTGTCACACTTTAGCCAAACACTTTTCGCATTAATATCACTCTCCGGCGGCATCGCACACGTGCCATTAACATAGTCCCAAAGTTCATTTTTGGTGAGGAGCGCCTCCACTTGCATACTCCAGGTGTCAAAGTTTTCCTTTGACAAAAGCTCAATTCTCGATGAGCTAGTAATCGAATTAGCAGCCATTTCTCCAGCAATTTCGCGACTCACACCACGTTTTTCTATGCTGATATATAAGTCTTCCTTTTTCACTGTTTCGTCGCTGCTATTAATCATAACATGAAAGAAAAAAGCTCAACCTTGATATTTTGGGCAGCTGGGCCCATAACCTCTTACGATGGCAGTGAAATTCCCAGATTTAAATAAAAGAGCTTGTTCTCAGTTAAAGCAAATGTTTTTAATAAACTTGCGATCAAAATTACAGAGAGAAGAAAAAGTGAATGTAATACAAAAAGGAAGCATAAGAAAGTATGAAAAAAATGACAAGCATGCATATTGTAACTAAGGAAAAATACATAGGTTGAATATTTCCAACAAACACCTTCATCAAAAAAAAATATATATATATTAAAAATAAACGATAAGTCGCAGCTATTTTAAACTTGCACTTCATTTAAATTGATCGGACAACAAACAGCATTCTCAAAACATGTATTTCTAGGAAATCGAGTTAAAAGCCTGAAATTTTTACGAAAGTTTGTTGATTTTTTTAATGTTGCGCAAAAATTGAACCTTGGGGTTTTATTAAAGTATAAACTGCATTTTTATAAACAAAGAATTAAAATTAAATAATTTTATGATTAATGGCCAATCTTGTCAGTATGTGAGTGTCGTAAAGTTTTGATAAGCACTTGAAATACTAAAAATAAAATGTCAAACTTTAGTACTGAATTCAAAGAAGATGTCTCCTTTATCCATGCATAATAACTTAAAAGAATTTGTTTGTTAAGAAGTGTACCTTAAACTATGTGCATGCACATTTATGTTCAAAGTGTAAAATGTACCTACATAAACTTTCCCATGAATACCATTAAATCATTGATCTTGAAGGGAATCTATGTATGCATGTACAGTAGCGTCTCGGTAATCCGGACACTTGATAATCCGGACACCCCGGTAATCCGGACACCCAAATAAATTGCGTTGCACACTCTGTAATCCGGACACTTGCATTAAATGTTTCCCTCAGTAGTCCGGACATCGATTTTTGCGATATGTAAACGTTACAATTCAAATGCTAAAATACTAAAAATTCGAAAAAATCCAGGCAGTTTACAGTTATGCAGCGTCTGGCTGGCGCCTTGGTGCTTAAATTCTTAAAGCGCAAACAGTCAACGACGTAACGTAGACGTAGGTTGAAGCAGACACGATCTACCCTATGGGATGCGCGTTTTGACGAAAACTTCACCACCGCATGGCGGTGACGTTGCCGATGCTTCTCTACGCTACGTCATTGACTAACTGCGCTTTTACATTCAGCAGGTGCTTTTAGTTTGATTTTGGTGTTAAAGTGGCACAATGTCGGGCCCGTCTATAAGACAGCTTGCTTTGAAATATGGAGTTGGGAAATCGACAATAACTGACCTTAAAAAAAAACCGAAACTTCAGAGGTAAGTAAAATTATAGAAAAATCTTTAAGTTGTGCAAGCTAATATGAACACTATTTGTAGTTTTTTTGGGCAAATGGAATGTGGACTTGATAAAAGGAAAACTATGAAACGCGCAGAGTATGAAGAGATGGAAACCCAACTCTATAATTGGTTTTTGAAGAAAAGGCAGCAAAATGTTCCTATCTCAAGTAATCTTTTACAAGAAAAGGCGAGGGAGTTGTTTCACGAAATTTATAGCGAAACTGCGACTTTTTTTGCAAGTAAAGGTTGGCTAACAATTTCGGTAGAAAAGCTGAGCAATAGCGAAAGCGCTGTTAAGCCATTTGTTAATGCATTCAAAGACAAAGTATTGGAACTTAACTTGGAACACTGCCAATTGTACAATGCCGATGAAACAGCATTGTTTTGGGGAAAACTTCCTGATAAAACTTTAGCTTTGCGAGCTGAAAAATCTGCTCGCGGAAGAAAAGTGGGAAAAGAGAGAATAACTGTCCTGTTGTGTTGCAATGCCACTGGTGAACATAAACTTAAACCACTTATTATAGGCAAGGCCCAAAACCCACGTTCGTTTAGAGGAGAGAGCTTGCTTTTTGAGTACACCCACAGCAAAAACGCTTGGATGACGGACATGCTCTTCAAGAGATGGTTTACTTATTCCTTTATACCTGAAGTAAAGTCGTACTTGGAAAAAAAATTGCCTAAAAAAGCACTCTCATTATTAGATCCATCAGCTAGTAAGCATTAGCGAAAATTTCCATGTTATGTTCTTACCTCCAAATTGTACTGCGCTTTTACAACCGATGGATCAAAATGGAATTCGCATTTTTAAAAATGAATTATCGCAAAAGTTTTCTATCCCATATTTTGCCTATAATGGAAAATGATCTCCCGGAATGTTTAAAAAAGTTTACTCTAAAAGCGCAGTTACCCACGGACGTAAAAACGGAGAACGTGTCAGCTGACGCGATCTATCTTAAGGGATCTGCGTGTTAATAAAATCTCACCACCGCATGACCGTGACGTAGACGTTTCTTCTCTCTCTTTCTATCAACAGCAAACTTGATACCTTTATACGTGCTTCTACGCTACGCTACGTACACGTCCGTGGGGAACCGCGCTCTTAAAGATGCCGCCTTGCTAACAGCTAGCTCATGGGACTCAGTAAAATCCAGCGTATTGCGAAAATGTTGGAATAAATTTTTATACAATGAGGAGTGGGACTCTGAAGATGACTTACCACTTAGCGTGCTACAAGAAAATTATACTGAACGCGTAGATGATTTGGTACGTTTGTTAGTGAATATAGCACCAGATGTTTACGTACAGCGAGAAATGACTAAAGAGCTGCGCAAAACCTTCTAAGAGGCACACTTTACTACTATGCAGTACTTCCAAGCGGCGTACTACAGGTAGCGTTAACAGCAACACAAAATATTCTATAGCAAGCTGCGCAACAATACAAACACTTCAACATTCGAAATATAATTTGCTACAGCGACGATAGCGCTTGAGTTTTGGGGTGAAGCAAATTGTAAAATCAACAAGTAAGAAAGTCTTAAGTTCGGGCGGAGCCGAACATTAAATACCCGGCGCAAGTATTAAATATATGTTTTCCACCTTTCCGAAAGCTACCGCTACATGATAAGCCGGGGTGTATACATTTTAAGTAAATTAGCGTCCTTAAATTTCGAAATATTGAAATTTCAAGCATATCTGAAATTTACCGTTATATGAAAAGCGGCCTCAATTTTAGTCCGATTTCAACAATTTTCAACGGTTTGCTTTTATGTGGCAAGCACAATAACCATACCGAGCTTGGTACAAATTGCTAGAACGGTTAGCGAGATACATATATGTGATCACAAGTGGGCGGTGCTACGCCCATTTTCCAA